TCCCCAACTCTGAAACAGAAGACTTCATTTTAGTATTACTTCTTCCCACTGGTCTCCAGCTACAACTGATTTGGGTTGACAGTTCTAGTAATAAAGGATTTCTGGCTAGGCTGGGGTTACAGCTGAATGTTACAACACTGGCCTAGCATGCAGGAAACCCTGGGTTTGATCACCAGAACTAAGAGAGGGTGAGGAAGATTTCAAACTTACATTCCTTATTGACTAAGGACAAGACAGACCCTTGATTTCTTTTCCTCCAATTTTACATACTCTCCCACAAAAACAGTGAAGTTTTCTACCACTGCAAAAATACCTCAGCATTATACTTAACAAATTAAGTAGGCTTCAAAATTGCTTTTTACACTTTAAAAATGTATTTAGTGTGTGTTGGTGCACACTACTGCATGGGTATCAGAGGACAAGTTCAAAGAGTCAATTCTTCCTTCTAGCATGTGGGTTCTAGAGAGCAAACTCAAGCTGTCAGGCTTGGTGGCATGTGCCTGGACAGCTGAGTCATCTCACCTACCCAAGTGTTTTATCCCAAGGATCTATTTATAACATTCATTTTTGCCTACCATACAAAATGAACACACCGTTAAATATGAAGGCTTACGATGTGACGGATCATTGAGAAAACCTTGCAGACACATCTTGGTCATATAAAATTGATGTTGTCTCCATTGATAAGTTCCATGATTTCAACTATATACAGTAGCAATAATAGCAACAAAATACTGTTTACCATGTTCTCAACTATAGAAAACAAAAACTGATCCAAACTTTTCCTTCAAATCCCATTTTTGCTTATTTTATCTACTATTACTTACTTTCCAGATTTTACTTACTTAAAATAAAAGCTACTCCCCAGATTTTCATTAATTAGCACCTAAATCCTTGTTTAAAATAGACGTCAATTTGCATGAAACATACCGCTATGTGAACTCTCACTAAAATTTCAAGTTTTCTTAGGAAACACATGCTCATCGTTTCTTACATGAGTATTTTTGGAATATCAGGACAATGAATCGGAGATGCCTTTGAGATATAATTTTTCCATGGGGGGGGGGGAATCAGCGTTTAGCATGCAGTGACCGACTTCTGAAACCACACAAAGGAACTCTGTCTTCCATCAACCCTCCTGCAGTCCTACTTCATCAGGCACATGCGACTCTCCTGACTAGTTCAGCTGCTCGATAGTGCAAGAATCCCCGACTTCTACCTTAATTTCAGCCCGTTACTTTACAACCATCATGAATCTGAACACCAGGAGAATGATTTTTTTAAAAAAGAGCAAAACCATAAAATTAATGTTTTTTTAATTTAAATGTCCATTCTCGTTGAACTCTAAATCATTTATCAAACAACAATATTCACTACTCATAGAATTCTTGATGGAAGAAACTGAAAGGATAGAAAGAAATAAAGATTAGTCTTAACCCACTAAGGCAGTGGTTCTCATCCTTCCTAATGCTGCGACCCTTTAATACAGTTCCTCATGGTGTGGTGACCCCAACCATAAAATTATTTCATTGTTACTTCATAACTGTAGTTTTACTACTATTATGAACTGTAATATAAATATCTGATATGCAGGATATTTGATACGGGACCCCTGTGAAGATGGAGTCTGACCTCCTAAAGGGGGCACAACCCAGAGGTTGAGAACTGTTGCACTAAGGGGTTGTTATTTTATAGTACTAAGGAAAATGTATGGCTTTAAGTCTTTTTGTTGTTGTTGTTGTTGTTTTTTGAGACAGGGTTTCTCTATGTAGCTTTGTGCCTTTCCTGGAACTCACTTGGTAGCCCAGGCTGGCCTCAAACTCACAGAGATCTGCCTGCCTCCCAGTGCTGGTATTAAAGGCGTGCACCACCACCGCCCAGCTATGGCTTTAAGTCTTATACATAAGGCACTTATATTATAGTGAAGACTAAACTTTAAAAGATCAGAATTTAAATTTTATAAATTTATAAACAGTAGCCATTTTATCTCTAAACCTTGGCTATACCTAACAGGGCCTTCATAACTCAGTGAGAAATTGATGTACTTTTTTTTTTTTTTGTCCACTGTAAGCATTACACAAAATTAAATTAATATTAAAAAAAATAAACATGGAAGAGTTCACTGCGACTCATCCTTGAACTGGCTGGATTTCTACACCTGTAAAAGGCAGAGAAAAGCATTCCAACCAGACATGAAGAACTATGAAGACAGATAGCAAAGTAGGCAGTGTGAAGCCAAGAACATGGGAAGGAAGTAGTGCCAGAAAAACTGCACAGAGCTCTGAGGAAGGATGTAAATGTGACAATACAAGGAAGAGGACAGCCAGCGGTGGTGGCGCACGCCTTTGATCCCAGCACTCGGGAGGCAGAGCCAGGCCGATCTCTGTGAGTTCGAGGCCAGCCTGGTCTACCAAGTGAGTTCCAGGACAGGCTCCAAAGCTACACAGAGAAACCCTATCTCGAAAAACCAAAAAAAAAAAAAAAAAGGAAGAGGAAGAGGACAAGCCAGGCTTGGTGGCTACCCATAGTCCCAGATACTTAGGAGGCTGAGACAGGAGGATTAGTTTGGCTCATGCGCTCAGAGACCAAACTGAGCAATGGGATGAGACCCCATTAAAAACAAAAACAAGCCAGGTGGTGGTGACACACACCGTTAATCCCAGCACTTGAGAGGCAGAGGCAGGCGGATCTCTGAGTTTGAGATCAGTCTGGTTGACAGAGTGAGTTCTAGGACAGCCAGAGCTACACAGAGAAACCATGTCTCAAGAAACCCAAAAGAAACCAAAAACCAAAGATAGAAGACACCAGCATCACGTACCTTTTAACATATCGATGTCATCACGTTCTATTTCAGCCATCCATTTTGGTGGAGAGCTAGTGATGGGCTGTCAGAAAATAAGAATACATCCATTCAGGTACATCCTTCTTATGAGAATGCAATTTGTCACATAGCCTTCAGATTGTTTGAAAATGTTGGCAAACTACAATTTCAAAAATCCAGGTTTTTTGTGGAGAGATAGCTCATCAGGCAGGAACACTGACTATTCTTCCAGAGGACCCAGGATTGATTCCCAGTACCCACAACCATCTGAATCCTTAGTCACAAGGGATATGATGCCCTCTTCTGGCTTTCTCAGGCACCAGGCACATACATGGTACACAGACATACATACAGGAAAAATACTCATATATATAAAATAAGTAAATAAGTAAAATTTCAAAACCAGGTTGTTAGGTATAGCTTTCACTTCAAAAAGTCATTTTAGAAAGTCCTACTGCTCAATTTTAAAGTTGGTCTCAGAAAGGCAGTTTTGGATGAATTTTGATGTGTCTACTATTACTAATTCAAGCATCAGTTAGTTCAGCAATGAAATTATTTAAAATTCCATTCTTATGAAAGCCTCCAATTGAATGTTTAAAACAAAGAATGATCAATAACAATCTCTGACAGAAAGAAGAACCAAAATAAGAAAACCCTCAATTCAAGTGGGGAAAAATTAAAATGGTCATCACTTGATATTTCATCATTAATTCCCCCTGCCCCCAGACGGAGTTTCTCAGTTCCCTGGCTGTCCTGGGATTATCTCTGTAGAACAAGCTGGCCTTGAACTCACAGAAATCCACCTGTGTCTGCCTCCTGTGTGCTGGGATTAGAGTTGTGCGCCACCACTGCCTGGGCTATGTTTCATCATTAAAGTTTCTTTTTGTTTATTTATTTGTGTGATATCAGGGGAGGGGGATAGGGCATGCATATGCCATAAGCAGATGGGGGTCAGAGGACAACCTGTGGGTGTCAGTTCTCTCCTTCAATCATGTAGGTCCCAGGAATTGAACTCAGGTCCTCAGGCTTGATGGCAAATGTGTTTACCTGCTGAGCCATCTCACCAGCCCAGATTTCTTAATTGTATTGTAGAAGTTTTTGGAAATTTTCAGCACTTAAAAATGTTAACGGACATAAGTGGTATTGCAATCCGAAAAAAGGCTGAGGCAAGAGGATGGTAAGTTCAAGGTCAGCTTGGGTTACTTGATGAGAATGGCCCCTGTAAGAGCATATATTTGAACACTAAGTCCCTAGTTGGTGGAACTGTTTGGGAAGGTTTAGGAGTGTGGCTTTGTTGGAGGAGGTGTGTCACTAGGGGCTTTGAAGTTTCCGAAGCCCACACCAGATCTCTCTCACTCTCTGTCTGTTGCTTGTGGATAAGATGTAAGCTCTCAGCTACTGCTCTAGCACCATGCCTGTCTGCCTGTTGCCATGTTCCCCACCCCACTATCATGGTCTCTGAAACTGTAAGCAAGCCCCTAATTAAATGCTTTCTTTTTAAAGTTTCCTTGGTCATGGTGTCTCTTCATAGCAATAGGACACAGTGAGATCGTCTTCCCTCTCATCCTGTGCAAAAAACAAATCCTGGTCATTCCCAGATGAACTGCTTCAGAATATCAAGGGCCATTAAAAGGGACTACTAGAAAGAACGGAGCTAAGGAATTAAACAAAACAAAGAATTGTAAAAGCTTTGCAGCTGTGCACTGACAATTCTGCCATGCAAACAGAGGTTAAGAAATCTAACCGTGGGCCAGAGTGACGGCTCAGCATGCCAGTGAGCTTACTGCCAAACCCGATGACCTGAACGGAAAGCCCAGGAACCACATAGAGAGAGAACCAACTCCCACATAAACAAAGGGGCAAAAGCCTGAAAATTACACATAGTTGGGGCAGAGAGAATACCAATGTTACATCAAGTACTTCAACCGCTTAACCTTAAAGTTTCTGAGCTGAGAAAAGAGGCTAATAGACAAGGGTCAGAATGTCAAAATAAAGCATTTGAACAGAGGAAGGGATACAATTAACTGTGATAATAGAAATGTATTTAAAGGTCTACAGTCAAAAAAAATGATTAGAAGACTAAGGCACTATTCTTGAAAATAAAGATTTGAGCTTTTTACCCAAGAGCAAACTTTGAATAAACTTCCACAGACATAAGCTATTACTTACACTTTTGAAAGAAGCTGCAAATTCAGCAACTCCTGGTACTAGAAAAGAAAAACAACAACAAAAAATGTAATTCATGTAAGAAACATTTGTGTGTTCAGGCACAGAGGATTTAAGTAATAAAAAACAAAGTCTTGCCAGGTGGTGGTGGCTGTGGTGGCACACACCTTTAATCCTAGTACTTGAAAGGCAGAGGCAGGTAAATCCCTGAGTTCGAGGCCAGCCTGGTCTACAGAGCAAGTTCCAGGACAGCCAGGGCTACACAGAGAAACCCTGTCTAGAGCAAACAATCCAAAAAACTCCTGTTGCCTTCAAAGAGCTTACAATGTAGAAGAGGACAGGTCAGAAACCACCAAAACTGTTCAAGCATTTCAGAAAGATGTTAGCTGCTATAGGAAGACAAAAAAATAGAACTCTAAATCAGAATGATGGGGCAGGAAAAGCTTCTTGAAGAAGCCAATACCTCACATTTTAAATGAGCAGGATTTGGCTTGGAGAATAGTAAACTATCTCTTGTCAGAAATTTTAAATTTCCTTTCCAGGGCTAGAGATTTGTCTAGCATGCACAAGACCTTGGGTTTGATCCCCAGGGCTGCAAATAAATAACTAAATAAATAATAAGATTGAACACAATACACTTTCTTTTCAGTTGTCTCATGGATTGTCTCATGGATAGTATCACATTAAAAAATCAAAGGAAAAATTACATATTTAAAGTGAAATAATGTTCAATTCTACTAGAAAATACAAGCTCAGGCTGGTGAGATGGCTCAGTGGGAAAAGGCACTTGCCACCGAGCCCAACAACCTGAGTTGTGGATTCCCAGGTACATGGTAAAAGGATAAAACTGACTCTGACAAGTTATCCTCTGACTTCCATATGCCCATCATGGCACATGAGTGCCTCCCCAGCCCAATAAATGAATGAATGTCACTTAATTAAAAAAAAAAAAGAAAGAAAGAAAGAAAGAAAGAAAAAAGAAATGCAAGCTAAACATAATAATGACTAATAACATCCAATATTGGCTAGTGAGAAAATGGGCAGTCACCCTCTTCTACATACAGGACAAATATGCAAGGATAATAATTAATACACTGCTTGTGAAATAAAAATTAGATGACTTAGGTTTCCAAACAGAATATAAATATAGAAACTAGAATATACCTATGCACTATAACATATTTAAAAGAATGAAGTAGAGCTACAGAGAGCAATATGGAAAAATACATCAAATTACTAATTTACTGAAATTGCTGAAGGCTTTATACACAACTTCTTCATCATTATGAAAAACAACACACATGCATGTGTGTGAACTTCTTATATAAGTATAAAAAACCCTGGGATTGTGGATTTGGCTCAGTAGTAGAGCACTTAAGGCCCTGGTTCAGTCCTCAGCTCAGGGGAAAAAAAAAGTATAAAAAACCCCAAAACTAATGTAAACAGAATTACTAACAGAGCCGGGCAGTGGTGGTGCACACCTCTGATACCAGTGAATGAATAAAGGAGAAAAGGAGATGAAGAAAAGTTTTGTGCATCTCAAAATTGTCTGAAATCATTAGACTTATTTTTAAAACTATTAATTATTGTTTAAAACCTCTTTATCATTTGTCTCACAATAAGTCCCAATTTTTACTGCACATCAATCTCTTCTTTTCGAAGTGAAATAAAACTTGAATCATCAGCCAGGCAGTGGTGGCGCACGCCTTTAATACCAGCACTCGGGGAGGCAGAGCCAGGCGGATCTCTGTGAGTTTGAGGCCAGCCTGGTCTACCAAGTGAGTTCCAGAAAAGGTGCAAAACTACAGAGAAACCCTGTCTCGAAAAACCAAAAAAAAACAAAACAAAACAAAAAAAAAACCCACAAGAACAACAAAAAAACTTTAACCATCACACATACATAACACTGCAAAATTCTCCCATGGAAACACTGACTCTCCTGCATTGATTCTGATAGAAAAGTAAAAACTTACATTGTTCCGGCCAAAGATCTGGCGAGGCTCGGTCAAGTTTCTCAAAACTCAGCAAAGATGCTTCCAAATCCATCCCTAGAACCAAACACCACGATGAGATGAAAAACACATTCATTTATATTTTGCTAGATTTCAATCTCAAACAGCATAAACTGAAACACTCAATTGGAAGTTTAAAGATCTGAATTACTGATGCTACTGGGGCATGATCTAATATCAATAAATTTGATTCACCCTCTTCAAAACTCAAGTCTTCCGGTCTACCAAATAATATTTAAGAAAGTTAGGGCTGGAGAGATGGCTCAGTGGTTAAGAGCACTGACTGCTCTTCCAGAGGACCTAGGTTCAATTCCCAGCGCCCCATGGCAGCTCACAACTTTCTACGATTCCAGTTAGTACACATGTAGTGCAAAGTCATACAGAAAGCAAAATACTCATACACAGAAAATTAAGAAAAACTGCTTAGAAAAACGAGCACTGGCTGGACATGGTGATACAAATCTGTAATCCCAGCATTTGGGAGACTAAGGTAGGAGATTAAGAGTTCCAGGCCAGTCCAGACTATACAGCAAAATCCCGAGTAAGAAGAGTGTGAGCAAATCTATCTATGTCTTCACTCTACTTTTCAACTTTCCTCCAATCATAATCAGCGAAGTGTCCCTGCTCTCACGGAAGACAGTCTCTACTAAGACTGTAGACCATTGTCTCCAGTTTTGACAAGCACCTCAATCTTCTTGTACCATCAGTTTCTCATACACAACAAGCAAGCCTGCTCTACAAGTTTTCTACTTTCTGACTTTTGAAAAGAACATTTATTGCCAGGCTATGACAGTGTACACCTTTAATCCCGGCACTCAAGAGGCAGAGACAGATGGATCTCTGTGAGTGCGAGGCCAGCCTGGTCTACAGAGTGAGTTCCAGGACAGTCTGATCTACACAGAAAAAGAAAACCCAAAAAATGAAACCAAATAAAAGAACACATACAACACACATACACAGACACACACACAAAACAAAAACAAAAACAAAAACCTCCAAAAAACAAAACAAAAAAAATTGTTTAAAAAAGCAAAACAGTATTTATTTATTTATATTTATTTACTGGGTTTGTGTTCATGCCATAACAATTGAAGAAGCTGGTTATCTTCTTCACGATGTGGGTTCCAGGCTCAAACTCAGGTTAGCAGTCTTGGTGACAAGTTCTTTTACCCAATGAGCCACTCATTAGCCCAGAATTTCCCTCCCTTGGAAAAAAGAAAAAGAAAAAGAAAAGAAAAGAAAAGAAAAGAAGAGTGGGGGGAGGGGGCGGTGGCTGAGAGATCTGTCAGTAACCTGCTTATTGTGCCAATATGAAGGCCTGAGTGTGATCTCCAAGAACATACATGAAAAAAAATGTGAGGTAGCGCGGTGTTCGTAACCCCAGCCCTGAGGGGTCCTTGGAGCTTGCTGCCTAGACATTCTGGCCTCTCCTTTCAGGCCAATGAAGAACCTTACTGCAACAAGGTAGATGGCTCCTGAGAAAGTACATCCAAGGTTAACCCAGTTTCCACATGTATGCAGACACATGTGCTGGCACCCACATGCATGTCTGAGCGCAGACACATACATACACATTCTAAACATGCAAACTCTCCCCTTAAACTCATAACCTCCTTCCTGGGAATCCTGTTCTTACTTCATCACCT